GAAGTAAGAAAATTGAACCGTCGGCATCTAGTAAACTCTGAGATACGTCTTATCATTTGAAACGCTTGAAAACCAAACACCCGATCACCAATCTTCTCAAATCTGGATAACGATAAAATTGAAATATAATTTATGTTGAAATGTGTTCGCTACTTTATCCAGCTCTTTCCTACGTGCCTATTGTATGAAAAAAATACTTAAAAATGAAAAATAAAATAACTGCAATTTCTTGATTATTTTAACGTGTGAGCGCATGTTAACCAAAGTCCATAATAGTAAGTTGATTATTTATGAATAAACGAAAAACTACTCATATGAGTAAGTACTCGTTAGTATCGAATAATTTCTGTCGATGCTTGGTACCAATATCGAGTTCTGGTCGCACGTCACTAAATGCGAGTTTTTGGATGTGCTGATTAACGATTTTTGGAAGTATTTTCGATAACAGGAGCGGATTTCAATTTGGATGAATGGAATACTGAAGGGTTTGATATATATACATAAAATGGAGCATTGAGGATTTCTAGTACGATTAAGGATTGGACCGTTTGGATGCGGTGGATTTTGGAATGTTTGGCTGTGCCCCCACGTTTCCACCCAAGTACATTTCGACTTAACTGTGGTGTTGTAAAACAGCCTTTTGTTTTGTGAGGAATGTCAGATCATTTGTCAAGATGTAAAAAACAACTTTACCGTCTCATAACTTCTTGAAGTTTCAGTAGTATGTGAGGATTGGACGTTTAGCGTTTGTTGATGGACATTTCAAGGTACTGCACCTTGTCCACAGTTTAGAGGTTAATATAATATATATATTAAATAATGTGCACGCGCTGGTCGGTCTCAATAAAAAAAATTAAATTAAATTAAATACAAAATAAAATAAAGTACTAACTTGTTAATTGATTTTCGAAACAACCATGGAGGACAGTTTAATAACTAGAACCTGCAATTACTCCGGCCGAAGGTAAAACAGAATCCTAGTCTATTAATTACCTTCGGGGCTCCGTCCGAACCCTGGATGATGTGTCGTATTAAGGATGCGGGAGGAGGCCCTCGCGTTATTTTGAACGCGATAATTATAAAAACGAGAAAAAAAAATGCTTCTTGAAAATAAGAGAAACTGAAGGAAGACTGAAGAAAAATGACTCTTGGAGGCCAATTAATAGTGGACTGTATTGAAGCAAGATGGAAGCGAACAGGGAAAAAACGGATTGTGTGGTGGGGGCAAGGCTAGGATAAATTCTAGATTAGCGGCATTTGGGAAACAAAATAAACTATTATAATTCGCAATATTTGGCGCGAACAGATAATAATATAATAATAATAATATGATAGCTCCCTCCAAAACAAAAAAAAAGAAGATAAAGATAAAGAAATGTTATTGTGTTTTGTGTCTTATTATTGTTATGTAGAATTAGTTTATGTATCATATTTGAATGGAAGAATAAAAGGATAAGGATGAGCCAATACTCATGCTGAGACTGTTGCTAGTCTGACTCCATTATTATTATTATTATTANCGCTGCTCTACCACATGAGCTATCGTGACCTCGATCCACTCGGACACTAACTTCCCATCTCAACCCCACCTTTTGAATTTTCCCTCTTTTTTGCCATTTTTCATATTTAAGTAGACTGAAAAGAAGATCTTTTTATTCAAAGTGAAGGAAATGCGGGTGTTGTATGTTTCTCTAAGGGAGCTACCCGTGGACCTCATAGATATGTATTCTCGAATCGGTGTTGTAAACATTACGAAATGTAAAAATAAATTTAGTGCAAAAATTTCAACGCATTTTTAATATTACCTTTCTTGAGCTCCATCTCAATAAACAAGCCTAATTGTGTTAATTTAGTTATTTTGACTTCCACCGAGTCGAAATAAATTGGTTAACCTTTCTAACAATGAAGTGTCCATATATACTGACAAGAAGGCGGCTCCTTTATAAGAGCCGTTGCTGTTGAAAGCTTGTCGATTCAAAATGGAAGATCTGAGTAGGAACCGCCGTCAAAACGAACTCTGTTCAGCTGTTTTCATCATCTAAAAGCTCGGATGTTGGATGAATCGGACCATTTTAAAACTTTTTATTGAGGTGTTTCTGCCATTTGTCCGAACCTAAAGCTTAAGCATAAAAAGGTTTCGGTGAAGTTTTGTTTGAAAATACTCCCGGATGAAGTTCCGTTATCGACAACGACGAAACTTTGTCTTTTATGCTGACCAGATCGCAAAAGGAGAAGTTAAGAATGAATTTGGATCAATTCACTACGAAGGATGGCGAAAGTTGCTAAAGTAATTGACTTACAAATATTAAAAAATATATCAAATTGAGTACAAATCGTTTTGTTATAACTATTTATTAAATAACCTAATATGTGGTGTTTTATGTATATGTATATATATATATATATTTATATATATATANTATTGTATTAAATGTGAAGATGTGTTAAAATTTTCGTCAAATAAAATCACAGAAAATGTGCTGATTTCAACCAAAGTGTGATATGTGATATGCAACATCTAAACTTCAAAACCATTACAGCACTCCGCGTAATAGGAATGAGAGGGCAATTAGAGAGATTAATCAATCTAAATCAGGAAATTATATGATGGCTCGTGACGTACACGTAAAGCAAAGTCAGCAACTACACATTCTAGCTACACAAAAAGTATATGTTTGAAATAGAATTGTTTATACTTTTTATTTAATAAAGGATATTAAATAAACGTTCTCAAATGAACAAGAAATTAATGTTATTTACGTTCTACGTACCGAACTCGAATATTTTCTAAAAATTATTTTTAAAAAAATTGTACAAAATGTCCCGCTTCAAATACGTCAACTATTTTCTTTTATTATCTGTTGGTTTAATGTAGAAAGAAAAGTCTTGTGTCTTTGTTTTTCAAGAAATCCAGGTAATTTTGGGAACAGCGACAAAGCAAGTATTGTTTGTAAAAGTTCAATGATAAAGATTATAATAAAACAACAGGATATGAAATGATAAAAATTATAATAAAACATTGAAGAACGTTAAAATGCCTTTTTACATTGGATGAAACTTTGAGGAGTTTTAGTTCGACTGAAAGTATTGAACATCGGGCTCTCAAGTATAAACTTTGTTCATCGCAGTAATTAAAGATTTGTGAAATAATTTTAATCAAGACTTTCATTGTTTCGCATTATTTTTGACTTAAAAAAGAGTTATCGGTATACAGAGGGGTAGAATACGGACTTTATTGACAGCAAAGTTCAATAAGGGGGATAAAGTTCCAAGTGGCGTACGTATATATTAAAGCTCAGTTTATAATCCATTTGGCATGTTGGTTTCCCGTTAAAACAAGCTTTTAATATGCATATGTTGAGCTTAAAACAAAGAAAATAATGAAAACAAATATTGTACATCCGTTCAATACATTATCTTATTTGAACAAATTACATTCGTCTTCTTGTGATTGTACAATAAATCTCTTAATAAAAATTTCTACTTTTAATATTCTCTGTGACAAAATTCCAAATGAACAAAAGGCGTAAAGTAAAATTAATTTTTAGCCATTTGGGAAAAATTGGTGAATCGGAAGAACCTGGCAAAATGTTGATTAACGATTGAAGGAAATTAAACAGTAAACGTTAAATAATTGACATTATTTTAAATAAAGAAAATAATAATAATAAACAAAAAAATAATAAAATTTAAAAAATTTAAATGTTATCATAATAATAATAAATAAAAAAAAATTAAAAAATTTAAATGTTATCATTTGTTAACAGACATTAAATAACTAATTCTATAGCTTCACTAGTTTTCGTGGTCCGCTTGCCCAATTAATATCTTTCAATTAATTAAGGTTTTTAGTTGAGATAAAAAAGTCAGTGTCACGAGCGGGATTCGAACCTAAGACCTTCGGCTAGATACGCCGCTGTTCTACCACTTGAGTTATCGTGACCTCGATCCACTTGGACACTAACTTCCTATCTCAACCTCACCTTTTGAATTTTCCCTCCTTTTTGCCATTTTTCAAATGCCGTCTAATCTCTTTGATACTCCGCGACAAAATAGCTCAAGTGGTAGAGTAGCGGCGTATCTAGCCGATGGTTGTGCGTTTGGATACCGCTCGTGACACTGACTTTTTTTATCTTAACTAAATACCTTATTTAATTGAAAGATAATTCTATTTACAACCTTGTCCTAACGAGTTACTATCCCAGTTATTCCCTTCAAATTTGGGTCTCGGGACTTAAAAAATAAATTCAGCTCAATTTCAGCTGTTGGCGATTATCAACACCCGATTGCGCATATGATTGTCGATTGGTAAGAAAAAGTGAGAGTCAGATCTTTTTTTCAGTTTTATTTATTTATTTTTTTTTTTTTTGCTTGTGACAGTTGGTCCAAAAACCTCTTTACGTTTTGCCGTAAAAGCAATAGAAACCAAATGTTTAAATCCTGAACGAGAAACTTAAATTCTTACAAAAAGCATGTACGTATACGACATGGTGTTTCTATGTTGTAAAGAAATTTGCTCCTCCCTGGTGAGTGTCTATACCAGATCGACATAGAGGAATTAAAAATACAAAGGAAAGCTCAGACTCTCAGCAGCGTAGCCATGCAAGGCAAATGCTGACAGATTTTTATGGTTCTTGCTGCATTTCCCCAAATAAAGAAAATTTTATTACAGTTTGGAGTTTGTAAATTACATGAATCACATACAAATTAAGGCTATGAAGCCATGTGAAATAAAACATTTTTTATTTAAGTGGACTCATTTGCTTTATGAACTGAAATCTCTTGGTTCCGTGATTTAAACATCTAATCCTTCGAAGTAATTAGAAATATTGGTTAACGATATTAAAACATAACAAATGAAAAAGCTCAAGAACTTTACTTGTTACGTGGTGCATAACGGAATCACTCTCAGAAAAATTGAAAACACGAAGACGAAATTTTGACTCTGAAACAACTGATTTTTTAAGGAGAAAATATGTGTCAGTCTGCTTTTGGTGAATCTGGAATCCACAAATTAAATATAGCATATGAACAAATTGTTAATAATAAGGAGGACGTATGTATTTATATAATCCAACCTGATTATTTTTTAATATTTTTGCTTTCATTTTTTATCAAAGCGTATTTGGAGTACGCTTTTCGCGGTAGTTCCAATCCCGGCAGTACAAAAGCTGAAATGAAGGTAAACCGTGAAAAAGAAGGAAAGAAAGAAAAAAACGAATTTCCTCGACTTCCTAGTAGATGTACAGACACAAATATTACGAGAGAACAGGTAATCCGAATCTTCGTCGTGTTTGGTATCCCTTTGTTGTTCGGTTTTTTTTGTTTGTTTTTTTGTAAAAAGCCACTGCCTTTGAAAGTTTTGCCGCTTTACACGACAGTTATAATCATGTTTTCTGCCTTAACACTGGTGCTATATATGTCAAATCTTGTGAAAAATGATTGTGAAACATGAAATATTTTTTAAGGATAGGAAGGAATATTAGTCTTTAATAAGTTTGTTCCGTTCTCTAATTCTTTGTACTAATTTTCTTATACTAATATTTATATATAATATATTTTTTTTTAACAGAAGGGTAATATTTAGGATCCATTAATATAAAATGTTGATACTTTTATTATTAATTACATGTAATTTTTATCTATATATAATAATGGATTGATTTACTTTGGATGATATTGTATGTTTAAACCATACAATAGTTATTAAGAAATCGTGAGTTACGGTCTGGTGTGATGTAGGTTTCAGAAAAACATTTTCTTTATCGTGCCAACGATTCGATCTTTATTGATATCATCTTCACGGCCTGGGATTTACAATATAAAAATATATTTTACATTGTATAAATCACTTTTTCATATCCTAAATGTATTAGTTAAATGTAAACAACGTTTGTAAATCCCAGGCCCTGAAGATGATCTCAATAAAGATCGAAACGTTGGCACGATAAAGAAAATGTTTTTCTGAAACCTACATCACACCAGACCGCATCGCACGATTTCGGAATAATTATGGATTAACGGTCACTAACCACCACACACATACATACAATAATTTATTCACAAAAAAACGCTTTCAAACAATTTTATGAAAATAAAAATAATTGTAGTAAACCACTGAGCATTCGTACAGAAAATTTCTCACGTTACAGCTACTGTATTGGAAGAAGTTATTTATTTTATTTAATCCTGAAAGTTTTAAGAGACAAATATAAAATAAAAAATTTGGTACTTTACGTTAGAGCGATCTTCTAAGATTTACAACAATCTTTGAAATGATGAAAATAAATTAGCAATGAAGTATTCACCACTTCGACAACAACATAATTTTATTGTGCAGGAAACGTTACAACATCCGGTACATAGATCCCATATTCCTTCTTCTAGACATAGATTAGATGTAGATAATGATGAAAGTTTTTTACATTTGATTCTCGCATTTGTTTTTACGAATTACATAGGTCGCCCAATGAATTGTCAACATTAGATGATTGTCTGTCACGCAGGTAGGTCTGTTCTAAATCGACGTAATACATAATTCATGCACATACAAATGAAGGAGCCACAATTAATCAAATTTGAACAGTCGCATAGTGAAAATCTACTGTAGTCGCATTGTGACAACTTTGACGGCTTTAAGGTTGAAGACGGGTGTTCGATCGTCTCGAAGGAGAGGCTGTGGAGGTGCAACCACGGTTATATATAGAAAGGTTGGATGCCAAGGGCTCCTTAAAAAGGCCGGCAACCCTCTTAGCCGTAGGTGACAAATGCCTCGGGGTTCCCGTGGGTGTAACAAATGGATTTCGAGTCACTTTGTACAATTTTTCCCCCGCCGGTCCCGTAAAGCGAGCCTCGAAGGATTTGTAGAAGGGGAAAAACTACTTGTTATTTAAAGTGAGGTGTCCTTAATGGTTTTCCGGCATGGCTTTCACGTGGGCTCAGATGTCGCGCATTAGAATGGAGTTGAACTATTTCCCTTCTTGGCTGGTTGACATCAATCTTGCTCACTCCATTCTTGAAAAGGAGACTTGATATAAATTCATTTTATTCTTTTTTCTCTTCTGTCGTCATGGGAAATGATTTTGGGAGCACATATATTAAGAGATAGAAATCAATCATACGTGTTGTTTCATCAAAAACCAAACGGAATTATGTCGCAGAGGAATTCAGTCAAAATTTATCTAAATCATCTTACAAGGTAAAATTTGTGAGAAGGTCTAGCATAAGTAAATCGTTCTACTGCAAAGCGGTTTTAGCTGTATCGCATCAATTAATGTACAGAATAATTTGTAAATTAAAAAACCCTATCCGATTAATATTTACATATCGTCTTGTACCTCAACCTGGATCCTGCAGTTTGTTGAGTTACAAATTTGTTTTTATTTCGTAGTAAATCCGTTTAAATATACATAAAACCACAAAGAAGTGCGAAAATACAAAATCGTAAAATTAATATAAATTTTGCTAGCGAAAAATAACAAGAAGTTAATATATAAAGAATAAAAAATTATGGAATCAAGGTTTAATATGAATTGAAAGACGAAAAAAGGACAAGCGTATTTGGTGTTTTCCGTTTTGACGTTTATTTCCAACTATGTATTTTTAACTTAACTTTATATCTGTTTATCTTTTATGTTACATTAATTATAACATACTTATTTTGGTATAAACCAAATTATACAAGAACGTCAATTCATGAGTTTTAATAAAAATTATTTACCTTGAACAAGAGGATCTTCAGTGAGGTCACAACAGGAACGACAAACTCTTCAAGTCTTTGCCGAGCTTTCGACGATCATATATCGTCATCATCAGGGCCTACTTATTTTAGCAAAATATCACAGTTAGAAACATGTTATATCATTTAAAAACCAGAATTACAACAAACAATTATTTATCTTTAACTAAATGAGTGTCTAAATACATCTGGAGAACAAGAAAGTAATGTAATAATAATAATAATTAAAATTAGGCGAATCTCAGTATCTAAAACAATGAACAGTGTGAACTTAATTAAAAACTATAAAAAAATATAATATAAAATAAAAATTTAAAAATTATTTAAAACCACAAATGTTGTCCTATAGGTTACCTCAGTAACACATAACTCTGTTGTGACCTCTCTGAAGAAACTTTTGTTCAAGTTGTTCAACAAACAGGTCGATATATCATCTCATCTTTAAAAATTATTAAATTTAAAAAATTCACAAAAACACCGGATAATCATATAGCGAAAAGTTAAAATTTAACTAAGAAATTATTACCTACTTTGAGTAGTAATAACGGGTCTTACCTCCTCGCGGAGGGCCCTTAGGTCTCCAAGGTATCGAATAAATTAGAGATCGGATTTCGTCTTGTGAAACAGAATACCATTTTTTTTATAAGAGCGGTGAAGCTCTGATTTTGGAAGCGACGAACGTCTAACCTTGTCTTTATATTGTAAAAAAAGTGTTTTATGAGATTCTTGAAGGAAAATGTGCAGCCGATTTCAATGAAGTAATCGATGCTCCAATTAATGGGTGCCAACTCGAGCTATATGCGGTCGAACATTACCGTGCATTTGACGAAGCTTTCCCCAATAAATGGAGGAAAGGGACCATATCTTACAAGAGAACTCTCTCAATGTACCTTATTGCAGACAAATATCCATTCTGTACGGCAATCAGTTCGGTACCGGCGGGGTGTTGATTCCACCCCAAGCTATAATTGACTATCTCCACAAGCGCAAAGCGATCTCCATTTATTCTCCATACACAGCCCCCTTCATCTGAATGTCAAAAACCAAGCCGGCGTAAATAGTTGCTTTTCGCAATGTCGATGTCTCTTTTGTAGTAGAGAATCTGATGCGGGACGTCCAGAGACTAGGTTATTGTTATGAAGCCTTCTGATAACTGTTTTAGTGCCCACCCTTACATTAAGGACCGTTTGTTGTACTTATCAATACTCCGTTAAATGAAGGCGGTTATGTAGTGCAGTTTTTCCTAGAAAGGACGAAATTCAACGAATTTTCATTTTAATCTGAAATGTGAAAATAAGTAGATTAGTTACTTATAAAGGTAAATAAAAATCATGTTATAAGTCATCTGTTAATCTATATACCTTGTTATTATCGAAAATAAATTAATAAATATGAGTTTTCGGTTTTTGAGTTCATGTTAAATTATGTTACATAATAATTAAGGATGATTATAAGAAAAATTTAGAAATTGACACAAATAGATACTGATTCAGAAATCGTGAGATGCGGTCTGGTGTGATGTAGGTTCAGAAAAACATTTTGTTTATCGTGCCCATTCAACACGACACGCAAGAATGGCACATTTACACAGAAAATAAACACTTTGAGCCCTGAAGGTGATCTCAATAAAGATCGAAACGTTGGCACGATAAAGAAAATGTTTTTCTGAAACCTACATCACACCAGACCACATCTCACGATTTCTGAATAATTATGCATTAATTACCACACAAATAGATACGTTTGGTATTTTGCTAAAATGATATATTATTAATACGGCTTAATATATCATAATTTAAAGTAGTTTCAAGACGTTAAAAAGTGAAAAAAAAAAAAATTTAACTTTATTGAAGAAGGTTTACTTAAAAAAAAAAGTATATTCACTTGATACAAACAATATGTCTTCGATAATAAGTCAAAAGACGAACGTAGTAACAATAATAAGAGAATTTCTCTTGAAACGATCTCAGCTGGAACGCAAAAAGTGCATAATTGATCAATATTTAGTATACATTATTAATAGCAATTAATTTTGTGCTAACGTTTTTCCAAGGAATTCATTCACAATTTATTATCTCTCCTTGTTAGTTCAATCATCGAGAGTGGTATTATTCGAACTAATTAAAAAAATTTCATGCCATCACCTACCCATAACAAGTTTCTAATTTGCATGCCTCTTATGTTGATGGAGAAATCTTACAACTTTTGATGGAAATGCAAATTTTACATTCTAAAAGGAAACCGCAGGGAGCTTATCCGAATTAATGTTGGAGCCGTAATTCCAAACAGATGAAACTGTTCGTGGATTCTTTAACATTACTTTTCGGGGGAGAAAATCCGTATTTTAGACAAATAGAACGGACTTATGCAGAATGTTATCATTGTTGTGTCAAACATTTTTGTTTCTTTTTATTTTATTTTTTTGTCTGGTTCTTGGTTTATCCTATCTTTTTACTTTCCGACGTATACTTTATAGGCAATCCTGTATTCCTTCCTAATAAAACAACATGACGGAGAGGTCTTTCGTTTCTGAA